GTGCAGGTTTTGAACAGTAAGGAGTTGTTCAAATCCGACACCTCAGTCTGGGGTGCACATTCCAAACGGTCTGGCTCAGCCTGGAGCTGTATTTTCCACACAGTCCATGTACTGTGCGAAGTTGACAGCCTGATCTGACCGTGTCCTCCCAACGGTTGGCTACATACCCCAGCTGTTCATTTAGAACAGCTGAAGAGAGCTGAAGAGGTGTTTACACTTGACACTCTGATCTAAGTGTCCATTTTGGACGTCACTGTTTTTCCAAGCGGTGTTCATTCTCTACACTTGAACCCAAGTGCTCATTTCGAGCACTTGGCATGGTTCCCAACCATTGACTTTCAACGCTGTCCTGTCTTCGTCCGTTAATTGTGATACTCACTTTCACTGCGATTATAGATCCTCTCATCGACACTGCTTTGAATGAACTCCCGCCGGCCAAAAGGGTTCGTTGGGCAGAGGGCCAGCGCCATCGCAAGATTGGTAAGACCGAGAATTTAACATTTCTTTGTCGCTTTTCACACTCTTTACAGCTACTGTTGATCCACTGGAAGCGGTCGCGGAGTCGATTAGCGGCCGTATGCTGGCTGATTTTGTGAATGGCTGGCTTGCTCATTGTACCGCCATCGAGTCTGCAGACCAATCCAGTACTGCAGACACGTTTCCGGCTCTTTGTGACGCAGCTGCAGATATCATTGACGCAGTGTTGAATGTTGCCGATAACTCTGGCTTCTCACACGAGCAGTTTCAATGGAAGATGACCGCTGCGGACGGTCGTTTAGAAGTTTGCCATCTTGTCGCACTTCACGAGTGGCTCGTCAGCACCAACTTGATGGTTGGGGATATTCAAAAGAAGCCTGCTCCTGCAGCGAAGAAAGGTATCTTCTCCCCCGGTCGGTTCATCCAATGTAATTTGAACTATTTTTAGTCGCGAAACCCGCCGCCGCTCCCGTCAAAATCTACGATAATGGCGGACTTGTCACTATGACCACCAAAATGCTCCTCGATGCCAGGCTCAATGCGTCCGACTATCCTGGGTGTGTTGAGGCAGGCATGGTGCCCGTCACGGCTGTCCTGAAAAATCGAGTTTGTCCCGCTTTTCATACCTTTTAATGTATTCATATTCATTTAATGAACAGGCTGGCCGTGAGAGGTGCATTACCTGTGACACCGGTCCACGCGGCAAGGCCTTGGACAACAGGCCTGTGCCGCCCAGAGCAGATCATCCATATTTGGAGGGTTGCAAGTGCCCTCTTCGTGGGGCCGCACCATCAGGGTTCCGACCTTTAATTTATCAACGTTCGAAGAGATTAAATTTTAGGGCGGCACGTACGTTCTCATTGGAAGACCATCCACCCCACCACTTCACCGCCTTCAAACTCCACTTACGGTCCGCCCACAGAGAGCGGTACTGTGCCCCGCCACGTCGAAAGCAGTGAGTGGTGAATTTACCGTTGCGACCCTTCATCACCCCCGAACGCTCCACGATGTCTTCCATTAGGTTTTCAAACCCAGAGCGACTGGTGCATTCACCGAACTTAAGCTGCCCCGTCGATGCAAAGGCAGGGAAGACAGAATCGGTTCCTGCTAGCGGGCGGCGCAAGAGACCTTCCATATGCGTCTTCCAAGTCCGGATATGCGTGTAGCAGTCGATTTCTGGATGGTCAAGATCGATCTGAACCTTGTATTTTTGAACTGCCAAATGTTACGCTACGAGGAGAGCCAAAGGGCGCGATGCACTCACCCTTAGTCGGGTCCTTGTTGGTCTTGCGGAATATCAGCGAAAACTCGTGGTATGGAATTCCTGTCAGCGAGCGCAGATCCAGTTTGACATGCTTGAATTGGAGGTTGACAAGCTCGTCATTCCTAGTCAAATTAAAAAGTCAGTTGCGATCATTTGTACCCAAGGATATCTACCGCGTCCAAAGGGTGAATGCCGTCGTCGCAAAGGCCTTGAAATAGAGCCGTTGAGTCACGCTGAAATATTTGATTGCTTCGCTATCGAGGTATTCCATAATGATCTTCAGATCAGCGGGCAACATGGGAAGAGCCTGCGTCGCCGTCCCAGTTCGATTGTGGCGATTCTTGAGCGATTCGTAGTAGGTCTTGAAGCCGCTCTCGAAGACAGGATTCCCTTCCCATTTCTCGGTGTGCGAATTGTACTTCCAGAACTCTCCCTGGCATCCCTGAACGCTGAATAGTTTGTCAGCATGGTACTCGGAAGGATTGACTATGCCCCTCACCGTTCGAAGTAATCTTTGAACGCTGAACGAAGACCCTCCGCTGATGCGAAACCACGCTCCAAATGCTCACATTTGTATGCGGTGAGAGCTCTAAGAGCCAGCGGTGTCTCTTCTGTGATCTCATCGAAGGCATCTGCCGCAATCTCGTCATCAAGGCGCCCTTCCGCGGTCCAGTCCTTCAGCCACTTTTTGCCGCTCTTGACATAATTCGCATAGCCCTTCTTCGTCCGTGAGGATTTGTACCATTCGTCCGTTGTCTGCTGACTATTATCGAGGAGCGATGATGCAGATGGAAGAGCTGTCGACGGTGTCTTGTTCTGGGCCGCGCGTTTGGAGTTCTTCGGACTTTGTTTCTTCTTTGCGGGAGGGGCCGGGGAGGAGCCAACAGCGGGGGAGGAAGGCTTCTTCGCAGAGCTGCGTGTCGTTCGAGAGCTTCGCTCGGGTGCCATATCCGCAATGACGGATCTGTGGTGCTCGTCGGACGAGAGCAGGTGTGTGCGCTGGACCAATGACGACGAAAATAAATAAGCACGGAAATTCACAGTTCAGGTGGTGTACAGGGAGTACGGTTCACATTCAACTGTGGGATTTAAACAGCTCAAACGGGCGTGTCCTAATCGGGAAGTGTTTAAATCTGACACCTCGCTTCCTTAAATGTCCCCCGACTATGACCTACATATTCAAAGACCTCAGTCAGGCCTTCAAGAAATTTTCCTAATTGGTAAATAAATTACGCGGGTAGTATAGGACTGAACACAAAATGTATTCCCTGAAATCAGAAGAAACAAGATGAAGGGGAAAGAAGAGGAGAAAAAAGTAAAGTTCAAGCCAATCACCCGACCCCGAATCGAACAGGGCTCCTCTGCATAAATGCTTTAGCCACAGCCTCCAAGCGTAGAAAATGCACACCTTGCATCATCGGGTACTTGCTTTGAATCCCCAATCTCAAAATACCCAGAATTGAACCTTCCGCTCCTTAGAGCATCAGGGAGGGAACATAGGGAAAGGAAGGAAAAAAGCATAAAGACAAGGCAAATCACCCGACCCCAAATTGAACGAGGACTTTCTGCCTGCCAGTGAAGCCCTGCTAAATCGTAAAAATTTGAAATTGAATTCAAAAAGTAAAAAAGTAAAAAGTAAAAAAAGTTGAACCAGAATCACCCGACCCTGAATCAAACGGGGCCCTTCTGCATAACACCGTGACCTGTGCATATGCTGCAGACACACACCTTGTGCCATCAGGTGCATGCTCTACATCCCCAATCTCAGACTAAGACACACTCTGCGAGATCCCGAGTTGGCTTCAAAGCTTTGAACTAGCTACAGACCCACAAATCCACAGGTCCATTGACATTTCTAGCCTCTTCTCTCGTCCCAATTACATTAGAATACTTGAGTCGATTTTTTAGCGAAAATGTGTTCCCATTTCCATTGAAAGCCAAAGAGAAACCAAGGAAGGGACACTGGGAAAAAAAGGAGATCCCACATACTTCAGATGCACACCTTGTGCCATCCTCTGCACTCCCCACTTGTAGTTTATCTGTGTACAATTTGAGGTCAAAGATAACAGAAAAGTCTAGGGGAAAAAAAACCCACAAATCACCCGACCCCGAATCAAACAGGGCCCTTTTGCATAAGCTTCTGAAATATTTGCCAATGGATGCATACACACACCTTGTACCATCAGGTGCATATTCTACACTCCCAATCTCAAACTACCCGATGCACTTCTGAGTAAACCTCGAAGCACGATCAAAATGTCGAGCTGGACTCAAATCGAGTGAATTGCCCACACATCAAAGGGCTGTTTAACATTGTTCCCAGGTAGTAAGTATCATGTAGCTGAAGTGCACGACGCACGCAGATTGGACGAAGCCAGAGAGATGAAGGGGGAGAGAAGAGGAGAAAAAAGCAGCAATAAACAATGCTATCACCCGACCCCGAATCAAACAGGGCCCTTCTGCTTGAAACACATTGTACCTGGGGTAAATCTTGCAGATGCACACCCTGTGCCATCAGGTGCATGGTCTATAGCTCCCCAATTTCTGTCTTGTCTCGGTAACCAAAATTGAGGTTGAGTTCCAAAGAGGAAAAAAAAGAAGAGTTGAACCAGAATCGAACGAGGACCTTCTGCCCAACCTCAAAAGTAAATCACAAAAGATTAGCAGATGCACACTTTGTGCCATCAGTTACTTACGCTTTGTACCCAATCTCGAACTAGTACATGGTGCACTTCTGGGTAAGCCTCAAAGCACGATCAAATTTGGAAGTTGAATAAAATATGAATTGCCCACGTTGACGGGGTTGCTTCACCTCGTTACTAGCTATAATAAGTACCAGAACTACCGCTCGCATGCCCTCGGGTCTGAGAGCAAGCCAAGCGACGAATGGAAAAAGTGAAGAAAAAAAAGAGACAAATGCAAACATCATCACCCGACCACGAATCGAACGGGACATTCTACGTAAATGTACGAATCCCCCATATTCACACCCTGCAGACGCACACCTTGTACCATCAGGTGCATGGCCTACACCGCTGTCTCAGACTATGACACACCTTCCGAGATCCCAAATTGGCTTCATCAATGTCAAGTTGAATGGCATTGAAATGCCCACATATTCAAAGACTCCAGTCAGGCCTTCAAGAGAATTTCCTAATTATGCAGGCAGTATAAGATTGAACAGAAAATGCATACCCTAATGAGAGGACACGAAATGAACGGGGGAAAGAAGAGGAGAAAAAAATGGTGAAAAAGCAAACCACCCGACCCCGAATCGAACGAGGCCCTTCTCCTGAAACCATGCTTTGTATGTCGCATTACTAGCAGACACACACCTTGTGCCATCGGGTGCACACTTTGTAAGACAAATTATGGGCTAGGTGGTGGAGCAAGACCCCGCCAGTGTCCGCGTCGATGCACGACGGCGGCCCGAGGCTTGGGGAAAGCTGGAATATTGCACTAGTGAGCTCTGAAGAGTCTCGCGAGCCATTGGTGTATCGAGGCCGCCGGAGCACCAAAGGTTTTCGCTAAGAGGGACTTCAAAAATCGAGCTGGAAGTCAAAGCCTGGTTTGGTGAGAGTTTGGTGTCAATGAACCGGAACCGGGCGTTGATCCGAACGCGGCATGGTACCCGGCATCTATCTCTTGACCGCAGACCACGGACTCCCAACCCACTTGTACATACAGTCTTCTCGAGTTTCGACTGCATTGAACTTGAAGGTTGAAGCTTGAAAGCTTGGCCCCGATCTCAACGTGCGTCGAACTTCCCAAGTTGCATTGGGCCCGCACCGAGGCCGTCGGGATCGCCGCGGTCTCTGCGCCTGCTTTGCTTGGCCACAACGGCACTCTACGACTCAGAGAATGTCACACAGATTAACGATGAATACGAGTCCTCCGTGTACTTGACCGTGATTTCCTGGACTGGCACAACTTTAAGAGGAGGCTTGAACTCGGACGCGGACGTGCCTGTCTCTGATTTTAGACTTTGTGTGATCCTCCTTCCCCTAAGATCTGATTACTTAGCCTCATCCCAGGCGGTAGCTCGAGCTACGCGGCAATGAAACGCCAAACGCCTCAACGAATGCTCAAGTTAAGTATTCACTGATTTGCTATTCTTCCTCGGTCGAGTGCTCCTGAACACACATGCAGGATACGGTCTATCTGGGTCATTGAAGGACAGCGACAATCGTATAAAAATGGCTAATTCAACAGAATGTAGGCCAAACGGCGCGTCTCGATGGCGTCCGCTTCTACTCGGGCTTCCGCAGCTCAGGTGATTCAACTCGCTGCCCCTAACCGATGGCCATGCTGTGGTTCTGCCCCCCAGATTCGTGGGCTCGTTGTGTATATTTGCCATAGCGGACGTCGTTAGTGCCCTAGATATGCTTCCCATACAGGTCAGGAAATCGGTTGGTACTACAAGAAGCAAAATTTCGGGATACATTTTCAGAACTTCCTCGCCAATTGACCTCCAGAAGAACAACGTTGCGTAAGTATAACACTTGGGAGGGACGGGTGACATAGAGACGGTAGCGAGTAAGTTATACTTTTGTTTGCTGTGGAAACGACTGTGTGGGTGCGGTTGCGGTGGACACATTATTTGTTTGGCGTCGAACCGTTTTGAACCGTGGGAAAGCCTGGCTGATGCCGATCGCAATTGTTCACCTCGATGTTTAGTGTGGCCACAGTCCTCAAGTGAACTTGTAATGCCTTGTTACTTGTGATTTAGAAGGCCTTGTCTCATTTTGCACCTTTTATTAAGCATCTAAGCCGACAAAAAGGTCTTGCCGGCTCTCTTGTCACTGTGTCCAAATGCTGTAGAAGGCGTTGTTTTCTGAAACAATAAGCTGATTCGATGCACCCAGTATTGTATTCCTACCCCGTTTGTTCCCGGACATATAAGTAGTCTGGTCCATGAGGAGCAATTCTTCACAAGAAATGGGGCTTGAAACACAAGCAGTCGAATCCACCTGGCAAAAGTATACGCTCAATCCTCGGCTCAAACGCGAAGACTTGATTGTTTAATGCGTTTCAGCCATCGCTTGATTCGGTAAGTCTTGTTGTCAGAACCCGATTGTACACTGACCCATGACAAGTATAATATTAGAGCTGAAGTTTTCCCTCGAGGACGCTGCGGCTGCTCTCCGGGAAGACCTCAATCAGAATCCCACCCTCGCTTGCAACGAACTGAGCTCATGGCCATCAGTAATTTAATCGATACCAATAACATTTCGTGTTGTATTAATATATGCTCAGGCACCGACTCGGAGGAGTTATTGTCCGCGGATATCATACGTCGTTCGTGCTTCGCGAGCGGCTCATGCTTGCATATTGATTGACGAATGCTTACAGAAATTATAGAATCCAGGCCTAAAAAGAGTCAACGCTAAGGTTGACCTTCCGGTCAAGTTGAACCCGATGACGATATTAGCGGACTACGAAATCCCAGTCGGAAAATTTCTGGAGGCCTGCTTGAAGCTATACGAGTATGAGAGCGTGTGGTCGGTCAGACAGGCTCAGAGTGTACTCCTTGGAATGCTTGGACAGGAACAGCAATAATCCGAGCATCAGTCATTTTCAATGCTGGATGAGTGCCGACGGAGTTAACGAATGAATTATTCCACAGAGTAAATACCGCTTGTGCAATGGAACTCGGGATCCAGGGGGCTCATCAATTTGAGTTGTTGTTGGCCCTGTACGCAGAGACTGAGATTCAACCTGTGGCGCTACTGCCGTCAGCCGTAGGCGATCTCATGAAGACTGCGTGCGCGCGAGAGCAGCCGCTGTCTCGTCTTTCAAAATCTGTGCACATTCAAATTAACCAGGAGCTGCTGCTCAACAGGGGAATAAAAGAGGCGACTCGGACTGATCTCTTTCCCGCATAAACACCGCTGGATCTCGAGGGGTGCGCCGCACCTGACAGTTGGTTCGAAACCCTTTTGATTACGGGGACGGCACTCGATGAAGTCTGAAAATATATGGTGATTAAGCCGGGGACCAGTGAACGAGGACTCACCTCCGCGGCGGACCAAATCGATATATGTCGGGGGCGGGGAGTGGGTGGGCGGGGAAGAAATAGACGTCGAGACGGAGGTAGAACTTTACAGTAAGTGACGGGGCTATTGGCCACATCGGTAGCGGAGACGGAGCGAGAGGCGGTCGAGTTCAAGGTCGAAATAGCAGCGAATCTGAGATGATGAAGTCCGTCTACGAGCTTTGAACAGACGTCGGCGTAGAGCCGCGCTCAGAAATCGTAGCTGGGGACAGGAGCAGTAGAGTTAGATGCGCACAGCGCCCGCGAGCCGAAGCTGCGGCTGCTGCGCCTTTGTTGTTAGAAGAAGGCGCAGGCTTGAGGAGCTTTCCGCGGGGCGAGGAAGGCGACACAGGCGGGGACGTCGCGTCCGTTTTGCCCGACGCGCGCGACGAGGCGCTCGAGCAGCTCTCCACGGGCGGCGGCGCCTCCACTTCATGCAGAGGGGCCGCAGCGCCACGGGCCGCCCCGGCGGCAACGACAGCGCTGCGAGGCCCGGCGGGAGGAGCGCAGGCGGGAACACGGCGGGCGCGGGTGCGGAGATCGTATGTTTTCTTACGCGCTCGCGCGTGGGCGACGGCGGGGGGTGGGCATGGTGCGGGAGGAGGAGGCACGCGAGGCGCGTGCGCATCGGCGTGGGCGGCGAAGTCGCGGGCGTCGGCGAGGCGGAGGACTGCGCGCGGCGGCGGATGTAGTGGGGCTGTGTGCTCGATGTCAGGGATGGGGCGGGCGAGTACGCGGTGGGCGCGGGGTCAAGCGGCGGTGCGGCGTAGAGCGCGAACGAGTGGCGCGGCAGCAGCGCCGCGATGCGCTCGCCGTCGCCGACGGCGGCGAGGAGGGCGGCGTCGTCGGGGTCGACGGCGGGGGCGGGCTTGCGGCGGACGCGGGCTGTGGACGCCATGAGCGCAGGAGGCAAGCAGTGAGGCAGAAGGGCCTGGGTCTCAATTCGCTTGACTTGCTGCTGCAATGTGGTTTAAGGACCACACCACACGTGTAACCCGCCTGCTCTTCGCGTTACCCATACAAGTCCTGGGATTCCCTTGTATTTATCTTGTGGTTTTCTTGGTTTACTGCTGCCAGAAGGGTATGCATCTGCACGCCGAGCAAGCAATATGTAGCGGAGGAAGGGAGAGATTTGCACCGGCCACTAGACTGGTTCCCGCTTTCTTCAACTCGACGCCCATGTTCCTCAACCGCTCTGGCCTCATCGGGCGCCCTAGATTTCGCCGGTCTCATCAACCATCTGCCGGTGTCGCCGCTGCTCGCTGTTCGCTCTCCCGAGGGGAAATCCCGCATCCGGTCATAACCACCTCAAGTTGCTTATTCCGCTGTGGTCCACTAGCCTGTGGATATCGCCCGAGCCGCTAGCATCACTGGTCGGCTGCCTGATAACCATATCTACCTTTGCCTGTGTGCTGGTGCTTCCCTTGACCTTGCCCACGTTAATTCAAGTACCTCCAGGTTATATGCTCCCGACTGGGCCGACTCGGACCTTTTCTCTGACACCGATCCCACTCACTCCCTACGTATAATCCCTGAGTCGTTTATAATGAGCCCACCCAGTTACTGAACTAATGACGTCTCTAGCCGCGGGCTCGTGTCCCCCAGGCTGCCCGTTAATTCCCCGCACTCCAGTCTACATGCATTTCGCCGACCCTCCAATTAGTTATCGCTCTGTTGCGACGGCCTCTTGCACCTCTGTACATCTATCAGCTTGTGTCCGATGGCCCTACGAGGCAACTTCAGGACGCTGCATCGCTCTGCTTCATATGCCCAGGTCCCCGTCAAATCATTGATTATTGATCCTAGGACGGCGCGACTCACATACCTACCCTCTACCTACTTAATTAACTATGTACACCCCCGCTAAAGTACCGCCCATGTACGTTTCCCGCATACATGTAAAAACGAAAATTTGAGTCAGAGAGGGCGAAAAAAAAGGGAATCGAAAGAGAAATCACCCGACCCCGAATCGAACGGGGAACTTCTGCATAACACTTACCCCTATTCACATATAAGCTGCAGATGCACACCTTGTGCCATCAGGTGCATGTTCTGTATCCCCCATCTCAAACTACCTGGTGCACTCCTGAGTAAATCTCGAAGCTTGAGGTTGAACTTCGATTCGACCCAAAATGCTCACACTGTTCGAGCATTCTTAACCTCGTTCCGAGCTGTCGTAAACACCAGAATTAATCCATTTATCGATTTTCTGTGTCCTCAAAATGGAATCTAAGAGACTTAGGGAAAAGGTTGAGAAAAAAGAGAGGAGAAACAAGCCATCACCCGACCCCGAATCGAACGGGGAACCTCTGCATAGACTGCAAGCAATTTGTAGAAGAGTAACAGATGCACACCCTGCGCCATCAGGTGCTTGCTCTACATCCCCAATCTCATATCAAGACAACCATTCCGAGATCTTGAAGTTGGAAAAAAATCAAATCCACGACTCGCTTCTAGGCTCTTAGCTCCTCTATTATTTAGATTCAGTGGATTTGAACCCCGGCGAAAATAAGCCTCGACTGAAAAGCAAAAGAGAAATCGGGGAAGGGAAAACTAAATAATCAGAAAAGGTGCGGCAATTGAAATGGATCACCCGACCCCGAATCGAACGGGGCCTTTCTGCATAAACTGCGAATGGTCGTCCCCAAGAATAGCAGACGCACGCCTTGTGCCATCGGGTGCCTGCTCTACACCCCCAATATTAGATTAACCGAGACACCTGTGGCTGATCCCAGGTTGCTCAAGTTTGACCTTCAACAACTTTCAAATCAAATCACTTCCGACCCAAATCTACTGACCTATCTCATAGCTCGGTCCAAGTATATCAGACATCGAGTTTGAACTCCCAGCACCAGTGAGGGAAACTAAAAGAGCGAATTGGAAGGGGATCACCCGACCCCGAATCGAATGGGGCCCTTCTGCAGAAATGCAAGGTTTTTTAAGACTCGCAGATGCACACCTTATGCCATCAGGTGGTTGTTCCGCACTCCCAATCTCGGACTACCTGGCCCACTTCTGAGTAAATCTCGAACTACGATCAAAATTCCACTGCCCGCAGATCATGTACTCTACCGCCCACGCTTGCAATCTTGTACGCTTCCCGCATACATATAAAAATGAAATTTGAGTCAGAGAGGGCGAAAAAAAAAAAAGAGTTGTCGAAATTCCAAATCACCCGACCCCGAATTGAACGGGGCCCTCCTGCATAAAGTTGACCGTAACTCGTAACTTATATATGTTGCAGATGCACACCTTGTGCCATCGGGTGCTCCCTTTTGCAGCCCCATTCTCAGATTAACATGTAACAGACACCTTGATTCTCCGAGATCCCGTTCTGGCTTTCAAGTTGAAAATCAAATCAACTCGGGCACAAATGCATAGGCCCAGTCTTAGCCTCTTAGCTGATACCTATCATATTAGCATCATTTGGTTTAAATCGCCAGCGAAAGCGAGTTCCCAGTGAAAGCAAAAGAGGAACTGGAAAAAAAAGCTACGGCCCAGCCGTATCACCCGACCCCGAATCGAACGAGGCCCTTCTGCATAAACTGCAAATGATTGTCCCCAAGAGTAGCAGACGCACACCCTGTGCCATCGGGTGCATGCTCTGCACCCCCAATCTCAGAATAACAGCCACACTTCTGGAATCCCGAGTTGAAGCTTACTTGATGAACTTGATAACAAAATCAAGTAAACTTCCAGGCAGTTCCAGCAGCCTATCAGACATTGAGTTTGAATTCCCAGCGCGAGTGATCGAATCTTCCACGAAACCAGAAGAGAGCGAGGGAAACTAATAAAAAAAAGGAACTGTTGGATCATCACCCGACCCCGAATCGAACGGGGCTCTTCTGCCTGAAGATCCTACAACATGTAAACCCTGCAGATGCACACCTTGTGTCATCAGGTGCATGCTCTATATCCCCAATCTCAAACTAACAGCTGCACTTCTGGAGCAAACCTCAAATTAAAATTCTTCATCAGTTACTCAAAAATGTTCACACCGTTCAAGTGTTCTTAACCTCGTTATAACCCGTAGTTATAATAAGGGAGTCGCCGATTTTGCATCCTGAGATCGAGCCCAAGAGACGAAGGGAAAGGTGAACACGAAAAAGAAAAGGAGCAGTATAAGCACATCACCCGACCCCGAATCGAACGAAGACCTTCTGCATATCAATATAGAAATCCCTACATATCCTGCAGATGCACACCTTGTGCCATCAGGTGCATGCTCTGTGCTCCCAATCTCAGAGTAAGACATGCTTTCTGAGATCTCGTGTTGGCTTCATCAAAGTCCAAGTTGAACTTTGGTCGAACTAAAAATGCTCAAGCATTTTTAACCTCGTTCCGAGCTGTCGTAAATACCATAATTCATTGAATCACCGATTTTCTGCGTCCTGAAAATCGAGCCCAAGAGACGAACGGAAAAGAAGGAAAAAAACAATCCTAAGACTAAATCACCCGACCCCGAATCGAACGGGGCTCTTCTGCCTAAACTCAAAGCTCAACTTCAGAAGAATAGCAGATGCACACCCTGTGTCACCGGGTGCCTGCTCTACACTACCAATATTAGATTAACAGAGACACTTGTGGCTGATCCCGAGCTGCTCACGTCAATTTGGCCTTCAACAATAAAATCAAATCAACTCCAGCCATAAATCCACAACTCACTTCTAGGCTCTGAGCTCCTCTATTATTTAGAAGATTTATGTTTAAATCGCCAGCGAAGATGAATTCCAAGTGGAAGCAAAAGAGAACCGAGGAAGGAAAACTAAAAAAAAAAACGCAATTGCAGGACCATCACCCGACCCTGAATCGAACAGGAAACTTCTGCAGAGGATATAGATGACTTGCCATATACTGCAGATGCACCCCTTGTGCCACCGGGTGCTCGCTCTGCCGCCCCAATCTCAGACTAACAGCCACACTTCTAAAATCCCAAGTTGAAGCTTACTTGATGAACTTGATAATAAAATCAAGTAAACTTCCAGCAGCCTCTTATGTCGTCCGAAATCTATCAGACATTGAGTTTGAGTTCCCAGCGCGAGTGAGCAAGTCTTCAACGAAACCAGAAGAGAGTGAGGGAAACTAAAAAATATATATATGAACTTGAAGGAAATCACCCGACCCCGAATCGAACAGGGCCCTTCTGCATAAATTCATGAGTTTCTCGGTCACATCCTGCAGATGCACACCTTGTGCCATCAGGTGCATGCTCTACATCCCCAAGCTCGAACTACCTGGTGCACTCCTGAGTAAAGCACAATCAAATTTGAAGTTGAACTTCGATTCGACTCAAAATGCTTACATACTGCTCAAGCATTCTTAACCTTGTTCCGAGCTGTCGTAAATACCAGAATTCATTGAATCACCGATTTTCTGCGTCCTGAAAATCGAGCCCAAGAGACTTAGGGAAAAGGTTGAGAAAAAGAACAACCAAACCATCACCACCCGACCCCGAATCGAACGGGGGCTCTTCTGCATAAATTTTCGGGCACCTTTCATACATTCCACAGACGCACACCTTGTGCCATCGGGTGCTCCCTTTTTTGCAGCCCCATTCTCAGATTAACAGACACCTTGACTCTCCGAGATCCCGCTCTGGCTTAAATCACCGGCCACAAATGCATAGGCCCAGTCCTAGCCTCTTAGCTCATACCTATTACAGTATATTGGAATCATTGAGTTAAAATCCCCGCTGAAAGTGAGTCTCCAGTGAAAGTAAAAGAGAAAACCAGCGAGGGAGATAAAAATAAATTCAACAAGACCATCACCCCCGAATCGAACGGGGAACTTCTGCACAGACAATGGATGGGCCATATACTGCAGACGCACACCTTGTGCCATCAGGTGCATGCTCTGCATCTCCAATCTCATACTACCTGGTACACTTCACAGAGAACTGTAAGTTATAAGCAGGATCAAAATTTCAAGTGAATTTGGTTGACCTGAGAATATTAATGCTCGGACTGTTGAAGCATTCCTAACTTCGTTCCGAGCTGTAATAAATATTAGAATTAAATTCTACCTCGCATTCCCTAGGATCTGAAAGCAAGCCAAGAAAAGGGAGAAAACAGAGGAGGGGAAGGAAAAAAAAAGACATCGATGAGAACGCATCACCCGACCCCGAATCGAACAGGGTCCTTCTGCAAAAGCTTGTTTACTAGATCTTACATGGAACAGATGCACACCTTATACCCTCGGATGCTCATTCTACATCACAAATTATAGACTGTGTGGTAGAACAAGACCCTGCCCGTGTCCGCGTCGATGGTATTCGGGCCGGGACTTGGTTGGCATATTGCACTTGTGAGCTCGGATGAAGAGTCTTTCGAGCCATTGATGTATTGAGGTCGCAGAAGCACCAAAGGCTTTTGCAAGAATCGAGCTGGATAAGTCAAAGGTTTGGTGAGAGTCAGGTGAGGGTAGTGGTTGAACCAGATCCGGATGTTGATCCGAACTCGGCATGGTACCCGGCATCCACGCCTTGAACGCAGGCCACCAGCTCGAATCCATTTGTACCTACAGTCCTCTAGAGTTTTGACTGTCTAGCTTGAACCTCAAAGCTTGAAAGCTTGGCCCCGATCTATTCCGACTTGAACTCGAACTTCCCAAGTTGCACTGAGCCCGCACCGGGTTCGTCGGGATTTCGCCGCGGCCTCTGCGTCTGATGTGCTTGGACACAACGGGCGCTCTACGAATCGGAGAATGTCCCACTGATGAGCCAGGAATACGAGTCCTCCGTGGGCTTGACCGTGATTTCCTGGACCGGCACAACTTTAAGAGGAGGCGACTCGGACGCGCCTGTCTCTGATTTTAGACTTGGTGTGATCCTCCTTCTTTGCCCTAAGATCTGATTACTTAGCCTCACCACAGGCCGTCACTCGAGCCACGCGGCAATGGAATGCCAAACGCCCCAACAAATGCTCAAGTTATGTAAGTATTCACTGATTTGCTATTCTTCCTCGGTCGAGTGCTCCTGAACACACATGCCGGATACGGTCTATCTGCGTCATCGAAGGACAGCGACAATCATGTAAAAATGGATAATTCAACCCAATGTAGGCCAAACGGCGCGTCTCGATGGCGTCCGCTTCTACTCGGGCTTCCGTAGCTCAGGTGATTCAACTCGCTGCCCCTAACCGATGGCCATGCTGTGGTTCTGCCCCCCAGATTCGTGGGCTCGTTGTGTATATTTACCATAGCGGACGTCGTTAGTGCCCTAGATATGCCTCCCATATAGATGAAAAAAAAATAGATTACTAGTACAACAAGCAAAATTTTGGGACACATTTTCAGAACTTGGCCTCGCCAAGTCGATTTCAGAAGAACAACATTGCGTAAGTATAACATTCGGGAGGGACGGATGTCGTGGAGACGGCAGCGAATAAGTTAAATTTCCGTTTGCTGTGGAAACGACTCTATAGGCGCGGTTGCAGTGACCACATTATTTGTTTCGAACCGTTTTTGAACCGCGGGAAATTCTGAATGATGCCGATCGCAGGTGTTCCTCTTGATGTTTAGCGTGGCCACAGTCCCCAAGCGGACTTGCAATGCGTTGTTATTTGTTATTTAGAAGGTCTTGTCTCATTTTGCCAATTGTATTAAGCGTCCAACCCGACGAAAAGGTCTGAATGGCCCTTGCCGGCTCTCTTGTCGCTGTGTGTAGAAGGTGTTGATTTCTTGAAAAATAAGTTGATTCTATGCAACCAGTATTGCATTCGTCCCCATTTGTTCCCGGCCGTATAAGTAGTCTGGTCCATGAGGGGCAATTCTTCACGAGAAATGGAGCCTGAAACACAAGCAGTCGAAACCACCTGGCAAAAGTATACGCTCAATCCTCGACTCAAACGCGAAGACTTGATTTGTCTAATGCATTTCAGCCGTCGCTTGATTCGGTTGGGCTTCTCATCCTCAGAATCCGATTGCACACTGACCCATGATAAGTATAATATTAGAGCTAAAGTTGTCCCTCGAGGACGCCGCGGTTGCTCTCCGGGAAGACCTCAACCAGAATCCCATCTTGCAACCGAGCTTGCAACGAACTGAGCTCATGGCCATCAGTAATTTAATCGATACCAATAACAATTCGTGTTGTATTAATATATGCCCAGGTTTCGATTTACTGTTAAGTACTGGGTACTTGACCACCTAAGGCTTTTGGCCTACGGCCAAAGACCACTAGTTTCATGACACTGTCCGTACGGGTTAAGGATGAAGGCATACATCCTACCAATCGCTCAAACCCATTGGGTCGAATTTTGGTGATGATTTGAGGCCATGGTGAATTTTCTCCGCTGGCATGACAAGAATAGCCAAATTCAGGGTACCTGACCACTGGCCCAAAGACACGGTTAGGCGTCAGATCAGCGGTTGTTGCATATTGGATATCCAATTGGAGGTACTAGTTGACATTTCTATGCTTTGAAACCCAAATTCAGAGCTATTCGTGGGGGTTAAATATTTAATTCAGAAGCAGAGAGCAAAAGGCAGGATTACTGTTAGTAACTAACCGAGCCCAGTGCAACGGTCAGAGGGCACCATAGACTAAACAAAGTTACAGATGACTTTATAAGATGGATATAGACATATCTGAGTACCTACCTCCACTACTTGAACTACCCACCCCCTACAAAAAATCTTGCCGTCCGACCCATAGAATTTGGATGATTCAATGTATTGAAGGTCAGTGAGAGTGGAAAAAAAAGGATATAATATTGGGATAGGTATGAGGGTCAAGCAGTTAGTGAGACAAGAGACTATGCCCAATCCCAGACCTGTACCTCGGACGGTTCTCCTGCTGTGCGGGTGGTTAAGTTGTCTGGCTTGAGGCCGCATTTCAATGCTTTGTAGGCATCTCTCCAAGAGGATGGCCCATATAAAGGGTCACATGTGGCTCAGTTTGTAGCCCTGAAACAGGCTAGTAAAACGAGGCCCCAAAGTCGTGGATTGACCAAGAATTGGTCGAGAAACAAGCGGCGAAGGCTGTCCGGAGTCAAGAAATTGATGTTCTCACGTGTCGGCCCGCACCGAACGGCAGCACAGCTTTCGATCAATCCATCACGTTGCCTCGAAATTCGACACAGACTGGCGTCTGAGGTCCTATTCCCTCCTCAGAGTGCAACCTAGCCATATCCTTGTGTGTACAGCACTCTATTCTTCAAATGGTCAACTACCCCGACTGGTCAACTACCCAGTCCCCAATAGTATTACTGAGGTTGTCCGGCCATCGACAGGAAAGAGAATTTAGCTATACGGTCGTGGTGCATGTAAAAAATCAGATCTATTTTATCTAAGGGATTGAGCCATAATTGAGGTCGCTACAAAAGTTTTTTGCAAAGGTGGGTGATTGATAGTATGCACTTCAAAGCAAACCTCAAAGCACGATAAAAATTTCAACTTGAACTTTGGCTGAACTCTGCGCAAGTATTCTTAATCGGTCCAAGCTGTCGTAAATACAGAGTTATTGAATCACCGATTTTCTGTGTCCTTAAAATCGAGTCTAAGAGACTTAGAGGAAAGGTTGAGAAAAAAAGAGATGAAAATCAGCCATCACCCAACCCCAAATTGAACGGGGCTCTTCTGCCTGAAATATTTGGCTGCTGGAATAAATCTTGCAGATGCACACCTTGTGCCATCAGGTGCATGCTCTACATCCTCAATCTCGGACTAAGAGAGACACCTGTGGCTAATCCCAAGTTGTTCACGTCAACTTGACCTTTAACAATAAAATAAAATCACCTCCGGCCACAAGTCCACCAATCACTTCTAGGCTTTTAGCTCCCCTATTATTTAGAAGCTCTATGTTTAAATTCCCAGCGAAAGTGAGTCTCCACTGAAAACGAAAGAGAAACCGAGGAAGGGAAACTGGGAAAAAAAAAGCTACAGCAATCAAGGCTATCACCCGACCCCGAATCGAATGGGGACCTTCTGCCAAATCTCAACAATAAATCATGAAAGGTTAGCAGACACACACCTTGCGCCATCAGGTGCATGCTCTACTCCACTAATCTCAGACTAACTGGTGCACTTCTGAATAAATCTCGAAGCACGGAAGCACGATCAGATTTGAAGTTGAAGTCTAAATAAATGTGAACTGCCCACACATCAAAGGGGCTTCTTAACCCGGTTCCAACTAGCAAGTACTTAGTAAATATTGTATAATTGAAGTGTAGGACACATACCTGAAGTTTTAAATCCAACAGGGACAGAGGGAAAAAAGACAAGGGGAAAAGACATTCCAGCACATCACCTGACCCGAATGGAACGGCTGCTTATGAATTGGTATCTGGAATCACATTTCACAGCTGCACACCTTGTGCCATCGGGTGCCTTCATCCTGTCCCCATTCGTGTCTTGAGGCATTCCGATGTAATAAAATTAATTCCTCCGTCTACTTACACATCTTTTAAAACAGGCAATGCGAGATTAAGTAAACTTAATGGAGGCTGTGTACAAGCTGTGTAACAGCTTTGCGTCTCGATCAACGACACTCATCTTTCCTTCGCCCACCATGTCTACTGCCCGCAATTCAGCAGCA